GAAGTCAACAAAAATATATTTTTTTAAATGTAAAAGAACAAAGTTACCACATGTTCCTAATTTATTGTGTTGAAAAGAGTAAACTCAAAACTCACAATTATTTTGCTTTGTATTTATGTGACTGCTAAGGTGCCTGACTTTTCAAAGGGAAATATTTAATATCACAAGTAACTCATAAATGTATTCACCTTCTAAAAAATGAAAGCATTCCAGGTGAAGCTAAAGTTTCCCTTGACCAATTAAGCCAAAGAACATAAATGCAAAATCCATGGACACAGACAACATGGTAATGGTCTGAGGGAAGGCAGAACCAGGGTTGGGTGGATGGGGGCAAAATGAGAAAAATAGGGACATCTGTAATAGTGTCAACAATAAAAATAAAGACAAATAAATAAATAAAGCTTCCCTTGGCCCTTTACTCCTCCCCCATACTTACTATTCTCACAGGTAGGCATTATTTTCAGCTTAATGTGAATCCTAACATTTCCCCATGTATTTACATACATATGTGTTACTATAGAAAATATTCACTAGTTATCTTTATCTGGTGTGATAATCCACTATACAAATTGCAGTAGTAATTATGGAATTTCTTTGTTTTTCATATAACATCTTGCCTTGGAAATATTTCCACTTCAATACAAATAGAGCTGTCTTATTAAAAGAACTGCTTTGTATCCAGAGTCTGGATACAACTGTCTGGATACAGCTGTTTTACTATTCCCTTCGTGATAGACTTCTAGGTTGCTTCTGATTTTCTGCATCCTTCAGCAAACATTCATACATCTTTTCTTGGTGCCCAGCGCCCTTTCTGGTGCTGTGGATTGAGCAGCAAATAAAGCAAAGTTCTCCCTGCAGACATTCAAGAAGACGCAAACAATGCACATGTACTAAAATGTCATGTAGTGATAGGGACTGCGAAGAACTGCAACAAAGGTGAGAGAGGAGGTGGGTGGCCAGAAGAGGCTTCTCTGAGGGCTTTCTGTTGAGTCCAGTCCAATGAGAAGTGAGGGAGGTTGCTCTGTAAATACCAAGGATACCAGCTGAGAAATGGAAGTGCTGGGTCAGGAGGTCTGTGGATTAAAAGTGCCAAATCACCTTTGGAACTGTCTGTGACAATTCATACTCCTATTTGAAGCACGAAAGTACCCGTTTCTCCCATTTTTTCTAATAATTATTGACATGCTTCTTAATTTTTTTTTTTTACCAATTTGATGTGTGGAAAACTGTTCCTTTGCTGTACTTTTAATTGGTATAAATTTCATGCTTGTGATTGTGCATATTTTATTTTTATTTATTTATTTTTATTTTTTTAATATATTTATTGATTTTTCACAGAAAGGGGATAGATAGTTAGAAACATCGATGAGAGAGAATCATTGATCAGCTGCCTCTTGCACACCCCCTACTGGGGATGTGCCCACAACCAAGGTACATGCCCTCAACCGGAATCAAACCGGGGACCTTTCAATCCACTGAGCCAAACCGGTTTCGGCATGGCTGTACCATTTTGCATTCCCATCAACAATGAATGATGAACCCTGGCTGGGTTTGCTCAGTGGATAGAGCATTGGCCCATGGACTGAAGGGTCCCATGTTTAATTCTAGTCAAGGACACATGTCCAGGTTATACCTCAATCCCCAGTAGGGGCGGGGTGGGGCTTCAGGAAGCAGCCAATCAATGATTCTCTCTCATCATGGTTTCTATCTCTCTCTTCCTCTCCCTACTTTTCTGAAATCAATAAAAATATATTTTAAAAATAATAATAAATGATGAGCAACAAGGGACTTATATATGAAAAAAAAAAAAAAACTGGAATGGAAACATACAGGAATGACTGGAGCATAGGATGAAGTCATGAAGAGTAACTGAGTTATGAGGCTAGAAAGATAAGCTGGACACCACTCTTACAATTCTGATTTAATTTTATAATAATTTGGTAAAGTTCAAAATCATTTCTGTTAAACTCTTGATTAGGATAACATTAAATATAACAAGTATGCCATAAATAGTTATTAAATTGCATTAAATAATTGACTTAATGTTATTTATTGAAAAATGAAGTAGATAAAAGTAATACAATACAATGTACAGTATGGTCTGGTTTTTAAACAATAGTAATAAAATTAAGAGTATAGTAAATCCAAGATGTGTGTTCCTTTTCAAAGTTAAAACTCAAGGAAGGAAGACTACCCTCTTTAAGAATAATCAGTCAGCTTTAAGACAGAGAACAGAAAATCAATTGCCTTGATTATACTGGAGCTGTCTATAATTCACCTTCGTATGTGGTCCACTACAAAAATAGGGAAAGTTCCATCTGCCAGCAGAGCCCTGTGGAATAGGAGTCATTTGGTGCAGCAATAAGGAATGAGTTGTTTAAGGAAACAAAAGGGAACAACTGGGAGAATACTAACTGCTCTGGAAGGTTGCTGGTGGAATGAGACCTAGAATGTAACTCTGAGAACAGAATGGACATTGGAAGAATTTTCTCTTATTAAGGTCCAACAGTATTTGAAAGACAGAAGGGGGTAATTCAGTACAGGTGGAGAAATTGGAAGTTTTAAGGAGGGGAAACCCACTTTGAACAAGAGTTCTTTAGAAAATGAATGTGAAATAGCTTGTTCCCTGACACAGCGGGGAAGAGGGAGCACTTCTTCCTCTTAGAATTGCAACAAGGATAATATCCTATATAATAAAAGGCTAATATGCAAATTGGCCGAACAGTGGAACAACTGGTTGCTATAATGCGCATTGACCACCAAGGGACAGATGCTCAACTCAGGAGCTACCCCCTGGTGGTCAGTGTGCTCCCACAGGGGAACACTGCTCAGCCAGAAGCTTCTGGCTGGCGAGCACAGAAATGGTGGCAGGAGCCTCCCCTGCTTCCACAGCAGCACTAAGGATGTCTGACTGATGGCTCCAGGACTGCGAGAGGGCACAGACTGGCCTGAGGGACCCCCCAAGTGCACAAATTTTGTGCACCAGACCTCTAGTTGAAGATATAAAGAAAGCAGTGTTGAGGAATAGATGCAGAGAACTAGACAAATTATGTTAATGGCTTTGATCTTCTGAATAAGTATATCCCTGGACACTTATATCACAATCACTGGGGAGTGCTGGATAAAAATTTATCTCCCTGGACAGCTCTCATCAGAAAGTGACGTCACATCTTTCCAGCTATAGTTTGAGAACCACTGTTCAAACTAAGTAGAGTACTGTCTGCAGGGTGTGTCTACATTATTGAGAAAGAATTACTGTTTAGGAGGAGAGATAGGGATGGGCAATTAAGAAGGATGAAAGATTGCCTGGGCAATATGGCTCAATGGTTGAGCATCAACCTATAAACTAGGATATCACGGTTCAATTATTGGTCAAGGCACATGCCCCAGTTGCAATGCCTTGTAGGGGTAGTGCAGGAGGCAACCAATCAACTATTCTCTCTGAGCATTGATGTTTCTATCACTCCTCTCTCTTCCTCTCTTAAATCAATAAAAAAACATTTTTAAAAAGGATGAAAAATTTAATATTTTCTAAGCAGAGCCTATTTGGAAGTTGGGAAATGGGAATTTCTGCTAGAGAAGCTAGCTCAGCTCCAAAATATGGTTCAATGGGCTTCCCTGACTTCTTCTATGGTAAAGTGATTCCACCTAAAAATGCTGTGATCTCTTCTCTATTTGTCAGAGCCCAGGAAATATTGCTAAAGCAGGCTGCCGAATCAAGGACATGAAGAAAACTCGAGCAATTTCCCTTCCTTTGGGCTTGAGAAACACACCTTTCATGGCAGGCAAGGTTAATAACACTGGTTGCTGCATAACATCCTGTGGATTTGTGTATTCATAGCTTTGGTTTCACATAATTATGATGTCAGGCCAGCCTCCTTCTGCTAGCTGTGGCTCAGTTCCTTTCTCAGATGCCGCTGCTCCTTCTGCACATAACCTGAGGGTGGCTCCCCTTCCTGTGGAAGAAAACGAAGGTTGCAAGGCCCTAGCCTACTTCATTGTCTTTCTCTCTTTGTTTTCACTTGAGCTACTCCAGCAACTTCTTAACTGGTCTTTAGTTCACCAGCCTTCTCCTTCTCCAGAACACCTTCTCAACTGCCAGAGTTACCTTTCTTGACATGGACTGACCACTAAACAAATGATGAGATATTTGTAACCCAAATAGTAAATCCTGTAAGTACTTACTGCTGTGAAGACTCCCCAAGGCCACAGAATGAAGTCCAAACAAAGGAGAGATGCACAAGTTTTTTGCCACATGCCTCATCCGTCACCACAGCCTCCATTAATTCCAGCCTTGCTTGGTACAGGAACACTGAATCCTCATCATTGTTTTAGTACCCTTGTCAGTGACCAAAGTGTCCAAAAAATTGTGTCATTAAATTTTTAATTCTCCTGACACATAGGATGCGTACCATAAATTTTAGGTGCACATAGTTGACCTTTCACTTCATATAACCCAAAATTAAAGAAAATAGGAAAGAAGTGTTCTTTGGTGCAAGCAACATGGGCAACTCTTAGCATCATTTTATAACAAGTTTTTTTTAATGTAATATTACAGTTATAAAATAGCATTGATTGATCTGAATACTTGCAGAATCATAGAATTTCAAAGTGAAGAAGCATTTTAGAAGACATTTCTTTGATTTGCAGATGTGGAATCAGTCCTGTGCTGAGGTCAGACCACACAAACAGCTTTTTCAAAATCTATTCAATAACCAAAACCTTTTCAATTCATGGGTATTAAACCATCCTTACATTCCAGGCAAATGAAATGTGGAAGAGAACAAAATGTGCAATGCACTTTAGTTAAGAGAATATCTCATTAAGGACTCTCAAACTGAGTCTAGATTGCTGAGATGGGGGAAAGCCAAGCAACATGATGAGAGATAATTGGAAGTTCAAGGATGTATGAGCAATCAAGTCCATCAGAAGAACAGCAGAGTGGGTGTTGATGAATTTCTTTTCTCCAGGGTAATTGAGCCTCTTTTTCTCTTTAATAGGTTTCAGAACCTGCTGTGGTCCAGAAAGACATTTGTGGACAACATGAAAATTTATAACCACAGCTACATCTATATGCCTGCTTTTTCTATGAAGACAGGAACAGAGCCTTCCCTCCGGGTTTATTATACACTGTCAGATGTCGGTGCCAATCAAACAGTGCTCTTTGCTAACCCAAACTTTCTGCGTAGCATTGGAAAGTTCTGGAAAAGTAGGGGAATTCATGCCAAACGCCTGTCCACCGGACTCTTTCTGGTGAGCGCAGCCCTGGGCCTCTGTGAGGAGGTGGCCATCTATGGCTTCTGGCCCTTCTCTGTGAACATGCATGAGCAGCCCATCAGCCACCACTACTATGATAACGTCTTGCCCTTTTCTGGCTTTCATGCCATGCCTGAGGAATTTCTCCAACTCTGGTACCTTCATAAAATTGGTGCACTGAGAATGCAGCTGGACCCATGTGAGGATACCTCCCTACAGCTCACTTCCTAGGGACAGTGGAAAAAAAAGAACTAATATTCACTCTGAGATAAAGCATATGCACACACACACACACACACACACGCACACACACACACACACACACACACACAAGCACGCGCGCGCGCGCACACACACACACAACTAAACAAAGCTCATTTCCATAAATCCACATGACTGGTATTTCAAAAATCTGTAACAAGTATTGGAGAGTTCCAAATGTATTATGTACCTACCCACCACACCCTGATATAACACAAATCAGCTTACTGGTTACTGCTCATAAAGCTTATACCAGCATGAGATGCAAACCTTACCCCCAAATGCTTGCCGCAATTGAACAGAACTGTTTTACTCATTCTGACTCTCTCCAACATATTGTGAGTGGATCCTGTGTTGAGTACGATCATATTAGGTATATTCATGCAAGTAAAGGGGTGTGAATTAGTAGCTATCTATTCTCATAGTCGCAGGTAGGACTATTTTGAAAGCCAAACTCTGACAGACTACAAGCAGCCAGATGTGTTTACATATAAGAGAAAGGTAAAGGAAGCCTTTTATTATCTTTGTTCTTTGAAATGCCTTATTCTAAAAGGAGATGCTAGAAATCACTATCTTTATTTTTTTAAGTATCACCAAAATTTAGGTAAATTGTGCCAAAAATTTGTTTTATATTTTAATGGTAGAAATTCAGTACACAATACAGATGAAAACAGGTGGCATTTTAGGTAGGTTAATATAAAAATTATTAGGATAATAATGGCATTGGGAAATTACATCATTGAAATAGGCAACTTCTAAATAAGATTGAATATCAAGGTTATTATAGAAATCATGAGTTGAAATGTGAGTGGTTGATAAAACATAGATTATACTGAATCTCAGAAAGTAAAGAATTTTAGAGTATTGTTTCTGTGCAGAACTGATTTGCTATTTTTATGCTATATGGCAGGAAAAATGTAGTAAGAATGTACTATTGAGTGTGCTATACATGCAATCCTGAATATAGTTCCCCTTTTGAGCTGTTGTTATTATTTAATAATTACCTTAAAAAAGAATAAATTTAACCTATACACTTATTCAGAAAGATAAAAGGGCTAACGAAAAACACATACAAATGTTAATAAAATATGTCATTCAAATTAATGTTTAATTGTTAAAATTGTTAAAATGTAATTAATGTGTCCCATAAAGCCAGTGAATCACAGTTCCATTGAAAGTACTATCTAGAAATGTTTCATCTTGTTTTGATTCCTGGGATAGATTTGTGCAATAGATTTGTACAATGTTTAATTATAAATTTGTGGTTTCTGAAAGGCAAGACCGATCCCAAACTCATAACGTTTACTTGGACCATTGCTTCTCAAATGGGGTGATTTTCCTCCTCCATCTGGTGGCATTTGGCAATGTCTGGAGACATTTTTGATTGTCATGATTTGGAGAGAGCTACTGGCATCTAGTGGGTAGAGGCCAGGAATCCTGCTAAACACTCACAATGCACAGGTCAGATTTTCCACTAGAAAGAATCATGCAGTCTAAAATGTCAATAGTGCCAAGGGTGAAAAGCCCTAGATTAGACCAAAACATTTTGATGGTTCCATAGTGTTTTCACTTAAGGATACATACACCTGCTCATGTCATTGAAAGTGTGGTGACAAGTTAATGGGAATATTTTTTTAGAGTAGATTAAAGTCTGGCCTTACTTTAGAGGTATGCCATACATATTTCTGTGATTAGTTAGATGTATCTAAACCTAAGCTTGTGAGTATATGTGCTTATGTGTGTGTGTGTGTGTGCATGTGTGTGTAGACTAACTTGTGTATCTGTCATTTTAAAATACACGTGCTCCTAAGTAAGTATGTCTCTAGAATTATCTTACAGAATACTCTAGAATTCTCTATTACTATGAAGAAATTGAATTCTAAACTCTTCGTTATTTTGTTTTTCTGAAATTGAGGACTTTAGAATTGTGCTGCACACTTTGCCAAATTTAGCCAATTACATTTTTATATTATTGGCTCTTAAGATTCATCTAAAAAGATATTCAAGTTATGGTAGACACATTCAATAAAAAAGTATTTAATCACTTTTAATGCATCTTCCAAAAGAAGGCATTACTACTTCTAAGTTTTAAAGTTATTTAGTGAAAAATTAGGTGGCTCCAAGAGGGCAAAAGAAAGGGTGAAAAAAACTGAAAATAAGTTCCGGATGAGACTTTTTATTAGCTATAATTTGAGAATTACTTTGAGGCTGATGATCATGAATGAGGATGATCTCTGTTTTATTTTTATTGCACTTCATAAAATTAAGATAGGTGAAAGATTAAGTCATTACATAGAGAAAATAATTTTTTTAATTTTAACTTTTTATTTTTATTGAATTTATTAAGATGACACTGGTGAATAAGTTTATATGTTTGAGATGTACAATTCTATAATACATCATCTATATATTGTATTGTGTGTTCACCATTCTAAGTCAAGTATCCTCCCATCAACAATTATCCCCCCCATTCCCTCTCCTACCTCCCCCTCTGATAATCACATACTTTGTGCATATGAGTTGGGATTAAGGGGAAAAAAAAGCAAAATAATTTTATATGAAAGCTTTTTATATGAAGAGGACATTAGACATGACAAGCTCTATATAGAATATTTGACCAACAGTTTATATGACACTGTGCATCTAACCTGCAATTAGCACAAGAAGTTGAAGAGTGCTTCCTGGATTTTGTTTCTGTTTAGTTCACTTTTAGCTATTTTAACAAAGGCATGATCCTGAATGGCAGATGTTCAGACAATACTCTATGTTTGGCTTTGTGGTGTCTCATTCCCCTCTTTTGGCTAAAAAGTTTGTTTAAGTTAAATATAAATTATACCTAAAGCAAAGGACAACATGGCTTAAAAGTCTATTTGGGCCACCTGGTGTGGCTCAGTGGTTGAGTGTCAACCCAGAAACCAAGAGTTCATGGTTTGATTCCCTTCAAGGCATATACCTGGGTTGCAGGCTTAATTCTCAGTGTGGGATGTGCAAGAGGCAGCCCATCAATTATGTTCCTCTCTCTCTCGTTGATGTTTCTATCTCTCTATCCCTTTACCTCCCTCTGAAAATTAATAAAAGCATATTTTTTAAGTCTCCTTAAAAAATAACTGAAGAATTCCTAAAATTCTAAATTTACCAAAAATATTTTTAATTAGTCAAAATATTTATAGGAGTATTACAGATCATTTCAAATGGAAATGATATCAATAACATTTCTTTTGTCAGCAATGATGGTAGTTGTATACTATGCACAGCCTCTTATTTCTTAGTGTGGAAAATTGATGACCTGTCATTTTAATTGGTATGTTTAAAAATACGGACTTGGTGAAAATGTTTAACTGAGAAATCTTGTTAGGAGCAACCTAAGAGGAAGAAATGTCACCGCCCATTTAAAATTTTATAAAACTCTTATTGTGTGTTGTATGAAAAATTTCTCACCAGAACCAGGGAACATACCTGTTCTATGTTTGCAGAGTTCCAGTGATCAAAGCTATAAAGATTTTTGTGGGAACTTGAGGACAAGTGTGTGGAGAAGTAAGGGCTGAGTGCAAAACTGTGCTTTGTCTTTCTTCATCTTCCAGTGTAAGTGGAGGTTGACTCTCTGAGTATATGACTCCTGGTGGGTACATGTCAGGGCTGGAAGTGGGTAAATCACTCCCGGTGCCTTCAACTTAGGCCAACCTTCTAACACAGTCAGCAGGAACTATAAATATGACCAGCGGTTTTGACAACTTCAGTCCACTGTGTGCCAGACAGTGAATGAAGCAAGTGGAAGGAGGAGACAAAAGGTCAAGCTCTTAGGATACAAAGGGTCAGAGAAGTCTCTGTGCTTGACCTTGGCTTTCAAGCACCACCTTCCTCTGTCCAATCCCATGGCCTCACTGTCGAGAGGAGCTAGTAGCCTTGTGACTAGAAAGCTGGTGTGGAAATTTGCTGAGAAGCTTAAAATGTTACACTGTCTTATATAAGGTATTCTTTTTTGTTGCTGTTAATTTTACCCCCCTTAAACGTGTGCTCTCTAAATTTGGGTGTCTTGTGACAGAGTTCTAGTCACCCTGACCTAATTATGGCCCTGCCAGTGATTATTAAAAGTGGAGCTCCTCCAAACCCCCACTTTCAGATGGATTTTCTGAGTCTTTGAAGATAGGGAGATGGTAATATTCCACCAGTTCCTACAGAGCCTCTTTTAAAGCCCTGGAGATTTACCCAGAAAAATCCAGAAGCCAAGAATGTGTTTATAAACTCCAAAATGTGAGGCCATATAATACTGAGGTTGAATAAGTAGAAGGAAAAACATATGAATCTTCAATTGCCATAACCTTTGCCCTTCCTATCTTAAGAAAATGGTTACTATTGGCATTACCCTCATCCTAGTCTTGTCCTTTGAATTTTTACATGCATCTTAGAGGTGAGAGATTGAAGCACGTGCATGAATGGAAAGCTCATTCAAACACAACACCACCTCTGCTTGCCGTTACAATAGGAAAATATACGGTTATGTTTCCTTCTAAGTTTCTTCCTTCTGGCGCCTGCATTTCTGATTTATTCTATCTCTAACGAATAAGTAATAAATAACTTATTATAAATTGGCTTATAATACCTTTGAACAGTTGTGTGATAGCCAAAGACTATAACTCTATAACTTTTTTAAAGGAAAAAAAAAAAAGATGAATTATATTTTGTTGATGCTTACTCATTTACCTACCTCCTCTGTGTTCCTATTGATCCAGGACTTTATGGTGAAATTCTTTCTGATTTTGCTTTTCTTTTGAAGTTGTGGGATATAACCAATGTTGCAGAGCTGTCTAGGAGTTTTATAAAATAATACCCCAGTATATTGATCATATCTCTTTCTGCTTTTATGTAATTAGATTTTCTCCAGATATTTGCCATTTTAAAAGCACATGCTTCACACGATACCGACAGATAGCTACAAGATGTGATTTTATCCAGGGTAGAGAAAAATTCAGGACTCAGATATGTCTGGTTTTCTCTGCACAGCAAGAGAAATGTATACTTATAATGCTAAAAAGAGTATAACCAGAATGAAAAGAGAGAAAAAAAGGAATATAAAAATCAGGGGTTTAATTGTGAAGGAGGATTAGGAGGGATCTTACTAGTAGAAGGATCTTACTAAGCAGAGAGCACAGAGGCTTTTGTCCTTCAGTGCAGTTTCCAAAATAGAACTTTTTCAGACATTTTAAATGAAACATACTGTCATGCAGTTGTCGTGACTAACGACGAAAGATGCTGGAGGAAGCAGTGTGAGAGCCAGCCTGTGAGGCCCTTAGGGAAGAAAACAGAAGAGGGCGACCTGTTTGCCTCCTCGGACCATCACAGTTTATAGCTTCCCCACTTCTGGCCTCTCTCCAACTGAGTTCTTCTTGGTGTTTGAGCCTAGACATACCAACACTCCCATGTTCACATTCCTCTTTCATTTCCACTGTGACACATACTTCTGAAATAAGATTATTATTTAGATCTCTGTCATGATAAGGGAGCAATAGGAGGAAATTGACACCTTGATAGCTGGTTGCATGGCCATCTGATGCTGTGCATAGTGAGTTTAAAACCTCTGTAGTCCCCTGCTCCCACTATTACTTCAGTAATAGGCCTTTATATTCATCATTATGTAAGGAAACGTAGATGGGTTTTCTCCCTTATGTTCTTGTGCACATACACGTACACACACACTTTGCATTATGTATGCCCATTGAAAAGAGAAAGATGGTTGACTTGGTGGGGGGGTGGCAGAGGGTACCTTCACTTTTTCTGGCTTGGCTCCCAATTTCTTATCTATTTTCTTCATGTACTCCAGTCACTTTTAAGATGTAACCATGTCTGTTCCAAGTTGTATCGTTGCCATCAGCAAATGCTCTCACAAATGTAGTGAATGTGACTTTAATATAAATGCACCATATAGTATTTAGGCCTTAAAGACCTCTGATAACAGTGTGTACATATCCTTTCTTGAAGCTATAGAACCTTCTCATTGAGAGCTATAGGTGATAGTTACAAGAGGATGCAGAGATATAGGTGATAATTACAAGAGGATGTGAAGATTAATAATGTTTTCTCCAGTGAATCCTAACATTCTTGGAAGCAAAGAATCAATTGGCTTTTGATCCTCATTCATTCGTCAGTACTCATTCTTTGGGCTTTCTTGTTGGTAGGTTGGTATAGATATTCCTTCATAATATACAGGATTGATAATTTGGGATGATTGATGGCTATAGGGGTACATCAGACTCAGAGATGCTAGCAGGAAGTCAGAACAGACAAGGGTAGCTCCATTGCAACGCTTGCTTAATTTTTAAAAAGTCTGGAATAGCCGAAACCGGTTTGGCTCAATGGATAGAGCATTGGCTTGGGGACTGAAGGGACCCGGGTTCGATTCCGGTCAAGGGCATGTACCTTGGTTGCGGGCATATCCCCAGTGGGGGGTGTGCAAGAGGCAGCTGATCGATGACTCTCTCTCATCGATGTTTCTAGCTCTCTATCTCTCTCCCTTCCTCTCTGTACAAAAACAATAAAATATATTTTAATAAAAAGTCTGGAATATTCTAGAACTCTAGTTACCATATAGCATAGTTGTCTGAAAAGCTTTGAAAAAGAAAGTTTCTCTAAGATCTCTAATTCAATGATTGCACATTATACATCATTCCACAGGTGTGCAAGCTGTTTTTTCAAGAGCAAATCTGCAGAGGCTAGAGGTAAGAGGCAAAGAGAAAAATTCAATTCCTCTCCTTTCTCTAACAGTATATAGGCTGACTACCAGTCGATGGATACATTTATTCTGTAAAAGGGTTTTTAGCTTAGAATATGAAATGAAATCACCCTTGAAGTGTACATGGAAATACTTCTTTATAATGAAGCCACAGTCTGCTGGCAGGAGGTGTAGGGAAAATCAGTACTCTTCATTCCATCTTTCTCACGTAAAATAGAGCAGGTAAGAAAAAAACTTTAATTGGTACTTTTTATAGTCAGACTTAAAAAACACACACACACAGTACCTATCTCTTTTGGTTCTGCTTTAGCTATTTCTTTCCACAGACTCTAAAGCAATGTCATAGGAGGAGGTTTGCTGTAAAAACATGTCTTTTCCTTTGGTGTATTCATTATAATTATGGCTGGTAGTGAGAAGGTTCACTAAGACTCAATTTCTCTACCTCCCTTACTTGGAGAAAATCTGGAAATGTAATCTGTGAATAAAATATTTTTTAAAATACTTTGTGAAGTCTTTTTATTTCCCTGAAGTGAATGGGTAATCCTATTTCTTTTTCTATTCTTCTTTTATTTCATATCCATATCAGCTAAACTGATTTTATTCTTTTCTTCTGGATGAAAACTCATGCTGCTTAGAGAGAAAATTAATTTAGACATACAGAATTATAGATGCCGTAAATAGAACATAAGAGCACTACTGGTACCTCTTACATGGTTGAAAGAAACTATCTATTAGGCAAATTAAAATAGAAAGAATTGAACATTTAATATGACATGTACTCGAGCCTACTTTTTATAGCAATAAAATGTTTCCCATATGCAATGAGTCAATATTTGTATGTGTGTCCTAGAGGTACTTTAATAAGTTCCTAATAAGATTTAAAACATTTAGATTCCCTTTCTGCTTACATGGGTGACTTTGACAAGCCCAAGTGTACCTTCTTGACTGAATTACTTAGATAATTGCTTCAAACTCCCATTTTCCTTGGACTCTAGTGGCCCAATTCTGCCAGACACTTTCTCAGAGGGAGAACATCAGGAAGAGTGACCTTGCTCCATTTTTAATCATACATGTCTCCTCAGATATTGATCAAGATGTTTATGCAGATATTATTAGTTCTTTGATTTTATTCTCACATAACAGCCTTTTGGGCTACAGCTATTTTAGGAAAGGACATTCTATTACCTAATGTTAAAACTTCATTATGTTAAATCTGAATCATTTGGGAGGGAAGACACAGCTCTAGTATAAATGTAGATATCCTAACCTATTCTCAGACCATATAAGGGAAACAGATTTAACTTGTTTTTAACAACTATCATTAAGTTAAAAAAAAATCTAAAAATTGCTGAGTCCTGATGTTCTACTTTGTTTCGATTTAAGCATTCAAAAACAGATATTAAGATTCCAAAGGCATTAATTACTCAAGAATTCCTAAACCTTAAAGGATGGTAATTATAAGTCACAGACTATATTTTTACTTGAAAACTGATTATTTTGGATACACAGATTCTTGATGATATGAAGAACTAAACATACAGGCTGATTGAGTTGAATCTTGATCAGGAGTCCAAGAGATGAAGTAGAGGCTATATCTAATTACGTTTAACATTTGTAATTCTAAGATATATTATCTTGTTTTGGAGATTTTGACAATATGAGGAAACAAGTCCTTTGTTATTTCTTTCAAATAGAATGAAAGCTATTTCTTTCCTTCTCAAGAGTTAGTTTCCAGACATGAATTTTAAAAACCTCAATATATGGGAACTTTTTCATAATAAACAATGCAACCAAAAGTTATATTACAAAGCAATTAAGGCTTATTGGTCTTGCTCAGCCGGCTCAGCTCAGTGGTTGAACGACAACCTATGAACCAAGAGGTTACGGTTCAATTTTCAGTCAGGACACATGCCTGGGTTTCGGGCTCGATCCTCAGTTGGAGTTGTGCAGGAAGCAGCCAATTCTCTCCCATCATTGATATTTCTATCTTTCTCTCCCTCTCCCTTCCTAAACCAATAAAAATACTTTTTAAAAGAGTTTATTGGTCTTAGGATAGACTTCAATCAAGAATATTTTAGCCGAAACCGGTTTGGCTCAGTGGATAGAGCATTGGCCTGAGGACTGAAAGAAATCCCAGGTTTGATTCTGGTCAAGGGCATGTACCTTGGTTTAGGGCACATCCCCGGTGGGGGTGTGCAAGAGGCAGCTGATCGATGATTTTCGCTCATCCATGTTTCTCTCTATCCCTCTCTGTAAAAAAATCAATAATATATATATATAAAAGAATATTCTAACCTTTTGTGTAGGGAAAAAGGAACAATAAGAACAGAGTATGGATATCTATTGAGTGGGTCCACCATAATCAACTTTCCATCAGGTGGATTGCTGATCTCCTGGAAAATGGTTTCTACTGAGGGTTTAACATTGGCCTTGCTAATATTTGTTGGGCACTCAGTAGTGGTACCAGCCAGATGATGGATTCCAGGCAAACCTCCATATCTGCCACTGTGTATAGAAGTCCATTGAGAAAGTGGTGGAGTGTTTGATGCGTTGAGAGATCAAGAGTGGTTATCATAGAGCATATAGCCATTTCTCACTGAAATAGGCGTTATTCTGGATTTGCCTTTCTCATCCTCAATTCTTCTGCTAGTACCATCATCTATGAAGTTACAGAATGACTTCTTTACCATGTTGTGATCATATTATTACATGCAACATACTTTTGACCAAGGAACACATTTTTTAGCAAAAAGTAGTATAGAAAGGATCTATGCTTATGGAATTAACAAGTCTTGTTTTTTATCATATCCTGTAAAGCATTCATTTTCAAGAAAAACAATGGTTTTAGGAGGGGAAACATCTTAGACATTACAATGATATCTAAGACTTAAAAGTTTCATTTGGGGCAAGGATAGGGGAATAACGAAAAAAAGGTACACAAATGGGTGAAATTTAAGAAAGAATAAGTTGAATAAAACATTTTTAATATGGTAAGTTAGCAGTTAGGCTTAGTGGCTTAATCAGATTCAGGTTAAGATAACTTCCTAAGTGGTGTTCTTTAATTTGGCAATTTTAAATTAAGAATTGACAAAGTGAACAGCTTGTGTACAATAGCGATTTGGGTTTTTAAAACTCCAATTTGAAGGAATAAATGTCATCAAAAGGAACTAAATTTGTGATTTCTTTATTCCCTGGACATCATTAATGGAGGAAGCATGATTCTATAAAATGACTAGATAAATCTTGCAGGCTTGGTCAGATCTTCTCAAGTCCACCAACTAGGAAATTCTAATACCAAAGATACCCCTTCACTCATGTTCTCATTCACCCAGTTATTTAATTCATTGAATAAGCAGTTTTGAAGCTAGGGGCTCTGTATTTGAATAGGCCTTTGGAAGCCTAGAAACATATTCAAAGGGTCACATTTTTTTTGGTAAAATTTAAATGAGATTTTAACCACAACTGGTTAATGACTGTGTCTCTTTCACTCTATCGTCCCCTGTGTCATACTCTCCTTGTGTTCAGTAGTGATGAAGTGGTCACAGGCACTTTTAGGATCTGGCCAAGGGAAATTGAGATGGAAGACCTATTTAGTGAGGGCTTCCTAGGAGGGGAAAAAAAAGTGAGAGATGCTGATCTAGAAGCAGCTGCCTCACAGGAAGTTGGCAGGGTCTCATTTAGGAGGTTGCGGTACGTTCTTACTAAATGTGGTATATGTTTCAGATGGTGACCAATTTCTCTCATTATGATATCTGGAACATATTTAGAAATTTGAATCTGGGGACCAAGGGATGAAAGTAGAAGAGACTTCCACAAATTAGGATATTTGTGCTTTTGTTGTTTAAGTCAAAATATTTTTAAATTACCTTGTGATTCTTTTTTAACCCATCTTTCTAGAAGTTTGTTTTAATTTTCAAATATAGAGTGTCTCCCCAGAAGGTATTCAGACAATGTATGTAGATTCTGATACATTTTGAAAATGAAATGTGTCTTAAATTCTGCCTTTATAATTATTCAAAGTGTATATACATTTTGTGGGACACCCTGTGTACAAAGGATTTATTACTACCTTTAGATTCTCATCTTTTTATCTTTCTTTTTTTTAAAATTGATTTCAAAGAGGAGCAGAGAGGGAGAGACAGAATCATCAATGATGAGAGAGAATCATTGATTGGCTGCCTCCTGTGTGCCACCCACTGGGGATCAAGCCTGTAACCCAGGCATGTGCCCTGACCTGGAATTGAACCATGACCTCTTGGTTCATAGGTCACACTCAATCCAGCTGGGACTTTTATCTCTTTCTAATATAATTCTGTCATGATCAGAAAATATACTATTATTTTAATTTTTTTAAATTTATTGAAACTAGTTTCTTGGCCCAGCTTCGATGAGTACTTCAAAAGGATGTACATTCTACAGTTGTAGGCAGCAGGGTATTGAACATGTATATCTTCACTAACATTTTATCTATTCTTCTATCAATTCCAGAAAAAAAAAAGTCTCCTAGTATTATATGTCCATCTCTCCTTTAATTCTATAAACTTTAGATTTATGTACTTTGCAATTCTGTTATAAATTACATACACCAAGACGTCTGACTTTATGCCAAATAACTATGTGTGGTCCTTCATGCCCATCCTCAGGCAATTTGACTGGCAGGCCTCATGGGGAAGCTGTCCTTCCCCCCACCAGATTTGTACACAGCCAATGCGTTGGTTTTCTGGAGTGAATTGCAATCAAGGACTCAGGACCACCTGGTTCAGCTATTCTCATATGCATGCCTACATTCCTAGCCCAACACTTTCATTTGAAGTAGCAGAGGTCTCAGCTAAGGCACTTTACTCTGACTTAGTACCTTTCACTCCCAGCCCTTCCCTCTCACCTTCCTCCTGATCCACGCATCCATACAGATGTAGGATCCTTTTTTTAAGGCCTCCTTGGCAGGGAGAGGATTCCCCCCTCTACTCATCTACTCTGCATCTATCTGGCTCTCACCCAGTGCCATTCCATGAGAAAAAACACATCTCTGTTTCTTTAAATTTTATTTTTAAATTACAGTTTACATTCAATATTATTCTGTATTTGTTTCAGGTGTTCAGCAGTGTGGTTAGACAATCCTATACTTTACAAAGTGTTCCCTACCTGGCACTGTGCATAGTTATTACAATATTAATGACTATATTCCCTAATCTGTACTTCACATCTTTGTGATGTGTGTGTGTGTGTGTGTGTATTTATTGATGAGAGAGAGAGAGAGAGAGAGAGAGAGAGAGAGAGAGAGAGAGAGAAACATCGATTTATTATTTCACTTATTTATACAATAATTGATTGCTTCTTATTTGTGCCCTGACTGGAGATGGATCCCACAACCTTGCCATATGAGTATGATGGTCCAACCTACATGGTTAGGACCTTCATGACTATTTTGTAACTATCAATTTGTACTTTTAAATCCCTTAACTTTCTTACCCAACCCCCCTGTGCTCTAGCACCCATCAGTC